CTGCTTTGTTATGACCGCTTAAATGTTGGGATGATCATTAGATTACTAACGATTTAATTCGACTCAATTTGTACGGTTGAGTATCGGCAACTCGAACTTGAGTAAAATTAAATCATTACAGCCACAGCGGACGAATTACTAAATAAGTATTACGATTCGAGAAGTTCATAAATCAAAATAATATCTCGAAAAATGAGAATCATTCTCGATGTTCTCTAAAAATTTCAGGTAATAATCTTATCGATCATTGTTTATTTTTAAGCATGTATGTTATATATTCGACGTACTGCAATATTATATAGGTACCTACTACTATATATCTTTAATTCACATCAATCATTATATTGAATCAACATTTTTAGACAGTATAAAATATTCACGTTACACATTTTGACCAACAAAGCCTCAAATGTTACATTTATTTAAACCTGAGCAATACACATAAAAACATGACCAACAATAGTAGCGTACTTAAATAAGTAATGTTCAAACAAGAATTTACAGTGAACTGCACAAGTGTATTGATAAAATTCAATATATAAACGTCAACCGCGATAATATCATTGAACGAGAAATGTAATCAAAATAAGAGTACAGACCTACAACTCTTAGTTGTACCTACACAATATTATTATATTATGCTTCACTGTTTAATATTTCTAATGGAATTGAATTCATTTTAGAGTTATTAAAATCAATGTGTTATTACAAGCCAACACTAACGGTTCTTTGAACAGAACGTTAACAAAATATTAATAATTTACATCAATTCAAAACAGTTGCCTCATATTCAAAGTAGTTACAGTTAGGTATGTCTTACCAACTCAACAGGTGCATGTATTTGATACAACCGCTAAAGGTGTCATTTTAATATTAAACGAATACCATAACAAAAAAAATTTTGATTTTAAAAAAGTTACAGAATTTAACTTCTGACTGTTTTATTATATTGTATAGAAATGTAAATAGTATTTAACATAATCTAGCTACGGTAAGAGATTTATTTTCTTCTTTTGAACTCAAATGTTTTTTTTCAAACTCTTTATAAACTTTATACCTATAATATGCAACAATTAATATCCCAGTTTGTCCTAAATGATATTTCTAAAAACCAAAATTTATTGGTTACCTACTTAGTAAAAGTTAGTATCAATTTTCAATTTTCATCTAACGTTTATATAATATATTTACAGCGACACAGCGTTAATTAACAAATATTTTAATTAATTGTCATTACAGCAGAAAATATATCTACAAATATATTATATAACTATAGACTATACTACTATAGTACTTACTCGGACTAATTATAGAAAACTTTTGATAGGCACCTAGATTTTAGATAATGTCATGACAAAAATATAATTCTTAACTTTTGTAATTTTGTCTATTGCATTAGTTCTATTTATATGTCTTATAACTAAAAAATTGCATTTTTATACCCTTTTTGAGAAGCTATTTATCGTTAAAATATCTATCAATAAATTACATGATTGATGTAAAATCAGATTTTTATTATTTTTATAACATTTTATCCACAGATACTATTTTGATACTTGTATTGATTAATTTAAGTAAGGGTATTTATTTTTTTTTATATTTGAAATACACGCCCAAAGGCATTCAGTACAGAAAAAAATAAACACTTATATTAGTTTAACAAAAAAAAACATAGATAGGGGAATATGGGAATTTATTTATCAACTTTATAAGAAAGTACGATTGTTGGATATTTAATATGAATAATTATTTATTTACTAATGGGCTTCTGATCTAAATATTTGAAAAGTAAAATAAATTTTTTTTCAAATAGGTACTAAACCAACCAAACTTGTAAACATTCCTCAAGTCAATGAATAAATTATTAAATATTCAAATCAACTTTAAATAATGTTCAAATTTAGTTTAAATTATATGACACATTACAATTTTTTTTGAAACGAAAAATAAGTAATTATTTAACATTACACTACTTCAAATTACTAACAAAACGCCCTAAATAAAAACAATAATATATCTACCCATGTGTGGATACAACAATTTATTAAAATTAAAATTTTTTTATCGTTAAGCCAAAATCAAGGAAATATTTATATATTAAAATAGTGCACACAAACACAAAAAGTATGTGAAGGGTCAAGTAATTTAGACCAACGACGTCATAATATAAAGAGGTTAGGTATATCATTTCGAAATAAAATACAAGTGTACCGGAAAGTTATAAATAATTTTATAGTCCACCATTGTTCTATATATTGTTTAACGCCCCTCAATAAGCACAACTGATTAAAGGTAAAAAAAAAAAAATGTTTTATTTTATCTTTTATTATTTTTTTCGTTTTCTGCAAACAACCCTTAAGTACATATAGCACTACAATTTTATGTTTGAAATTTTGAAAAGCTTTAGCAGAGGTTGAAAAACCATTGTTACAACATTGTATCCTTAGTCGTTACTTACACATAGACAGTATACGACATATACCACTATACGAATATCCACTTGTTTATATAAGATAAATTTAGATACCTATAAATCTCATTATACTTTGTAAATATATTATGCTTTGTCTTTGACATACGAAAAAACAATTTATGCTCGTCGAATGAGGATTAAATGAAAATTGCATATGAATTATAATATATTAATTATACACATGTATATTGTACATATATATACACGGCCATTTTACTTGGATTTCACGATTCTTCTTATGGCAACAAATTTCTGAGATATGGTTAGTAATTAAAGTATAAAATTTAATCAATGGGTGTTTTAGTGTTTGTGTTTGCTCAAGATGAACCATAGAAAGTTTCACAACTAAAACCAAATCCCCATTAAACTACCTACTCAAAGGAACAAACTTATAACTCCTGATAATGTATTTTATATAAAGGTTAGTTAAATTTTATTTTAAGACTGATACATTAAAATTGATATAATGATAAACTACAGTGACCTACACTAAAACCGCGTATTATATTAATTAAAATCCTTAATATTGTGTAGTGTTATTATTTATTGATGTTATCATCCAGCACTCAGTAGCTAGGCATTTGAATGAGAAAATAAATACACTTACACGTTAGAATGATGTAAAAAGTAGATTAACAATAGTATACGATTTGTAGTTATCAAAACAAAGTCAATAACCACGGCCTGTAACAAAATAAAGCCCACGGACCCAGTGTAATCCACGTTTTATACTTTCTGAACAAATTAAGATCGACGAATAGTATTGGCTTAAATGTAATTTTTCTTAAAAACTAAACTACGATATTTGCAAGCCGATAAAAATGTATTATTGACCGTAATAAAATTGCATTTGGATTTTCTCAATAATTTATTATAATAAAATTCTTCTGTAAATAAACAATTTTTATTTATGTTGAATTTCAGTTAAATTATAAATAGTAAATTTTTTTATGAATCGATATTTTTTACTTAAATTTGTTTCAGTGTTTTTTAAGTCTTTGTTACGTGACCTATCAAAAACTCAGCTTCTGTAGTGAATAAACAAGTTTATATTATTTTAATGACGCTTTGTTTTTATCGAAATTAGATCGTGAAAATCAAAGGTTTCATTATTAATTTTACTATGATTGAATATATTATATCAGTTAAGATATAGAGTTTCTATCGAGAAGAGTAAATACATATTGTGTAGGTATAATGGAAACATGCCAACAGGCTACATGCGAACCCATCTGGAATTTAGTAATATTTAGGGTAGTCGAATTTTGTACATACCAAGAGTTTAATATAATATTATCGTCAGTGGCGTTTTTAACCCAAGAATAACAAAAGCGGCTATTTTTTTTTTGTAATATTGAATTTTTAATTTGTAACCATTGAATTAATTTAATTATTTAATATTTAATTGGGCTAAAATTTTCGAATGAAATTCATTAATTTAATGAATTTTCTAAAAATATGTACACAAACACCTAACTTGTTTTATAAATTAATATACTAAAATGCAGATTAAATTAAAATAACATTACTAATATATAATATTATAAATACTGTATTATGTATAACTTACTTGTGTAACCTACTAATGTATTATGTAATATAATAACGATTATAGATTTTTAAGGGTCCAACACAATCAATAATTAGGTACTTACAATGTATTTTAAGAAAACTTATTGAACAATATTAGACTTTTCAATAAATTCTTTAGTATTATTCATTCAATCTAATTTCGTATTATTAAAAAGTGATGAATAGTCAGTGAGGTGTCGTAGATACGGCATTTTTCACTAACATATGAACTTCTAGAACTTAATAACTTGTAAATATTGAATAGGTAACTTAAATATCTTAAAATTAGTACTCCTAAACGTTTTAAAATAAAATTGAGTTAATGCGTAAAACTCAAAATTCAATACTTTGGTGTAGGTCGATATTAAAATAAACTAATCACTCACATCAAGTAAACTAATACCTGTATAATATTAATGTGAAAATTTCACAAAAATATAATTAAAGTTTTTTCTATCTCGGCAAGTGGTTGATACTTCTATATATTTTTAGTAGGTAATTAGTAATTACACACCACTTATACAATACTACAATATACCTATGTATTCGAAACATTTTATATGTTTGCAATTAAAAAATGTGTTAGTTAATAGTTATTAAGTTATTCATTGCGATTAATTGTATTTGCCATATTCATATGCAAAAATATTATTTATGTAATGTGGGTCAACACAATATTATTTTATGTTTTTACATGTAGGGTTTTTGAGAATTACCTATTTCCCTAGAGAATATTGAAATTGAATAATACAAAAAAAAAACATAATAACACAACTAAAATAATGTATATAAATTAATTTGTTGTGAGAACATGGTTTTTTCTTACCATGTTTGGAATAATAATGATAATTATTTATAATTACTGTGGTCTATTTATATCGAAATTATGTTTCGAACGTTCGACTTAGGTATCGAATTAATTTTAATTAGAATGATTAATAATGTATTAACTTACCAAATGTGTTAAAGTAATGAACAAGAACAGACCACCGGCGAATGAGAACACAAACCCAGAATATTCCATGTTTCCCAAACAAATACCAATGACCAAACCTATAAACGCTGTGCAAGCTGACAGGAAATTAAATGACAAAGCACGACGGAATGACATACCGGACTGAATTAGTATAGCGAAATCTCCTAAAAAAATAATACACTTATATAATAACAATATACAATAAATGACTGTACAAATCATCATTATCGTGTTTTCGGTTATTTTGACTGAATTTAGGAAAATTTCGGTTTTGCAAGTGATTATTTGTCGAAAAAAACTTTTCGATGCAGTAAAAATGACACTAAAATTAGCAATTTTAACAACTATTCGTAAATTTTAAATGTCAAACAGTGCACTACACGCCTTGATAATAATATGCAGAATTATTTTACAGAAGCTCTAACGCTTGTTAAATTTTTGCCTATAATGCATTTGACAAATTGTAGAAAGGTGAATATTACGGAAAAACTTGAATTTTGTTGATGTCGTGGATTATCGTTTTGAGGATGTAATATAATTCATCTTAAGATGTCCCAGACAACAATATTATTATTTAATAAATGCACAATACTATGTATAGTATTAGCGATTGGGTGAAACGAAGCTTCGTGAGTGATATGCAGTTAGACATTGGCCTTTGTATTGTTGGTACAGACTGCGTGCTTACCGATTTCATGAGGGAATTCCTCGCACGCAATCGCAATCGATATGGATATGCCGGTGGTGACATTTTCCGAGAAAGCAGCACCAATCGACATGCCATCGATTATGTTGTGCAGACTGTCGCCGAATAGCACCAGTAAGGCTAACGTCGAGATCGGACTCTTATCGTCCTAAACAGACAAATTCATAAATCCATAATTTATATGTATAAAATATTAATATGATACAGTCATCATATATAAAAACATAAGCACATTGTACTTGTTATTTTACACACGGCGCGTACCATAGATTTATTTGTTAATTTGTGACTGTGGCTGTGACCGTGCGATATTTGTTTCATTTCGGTCCCATTGCCATTGGTGAGCTGAAGTGACGGCGATAGTTCGTCGATTCCTGTCTATAAACCTCATATAATATTGTATTAATTGTCTAAAGCAGAATAAAATAGAAAAAATAATATAAACCGAAGTTATAAACCGCACTAGTACCTTTTTTTCTTCTTTGTGGAAAATGATGCCGGCTAACGTTTCGAGCATATATAATCCCCACAGGCTCAACCACATTATTAGGGCAGTGTGTCTGAAGTCGGGAAACGAATCTTCTATTTTGAAAGCCTGGAAAATTTCGTTTAAGAAAACCATTATTATTTTGTAATCTAATTTCAAATTTATTAATAGCTTTATAGGAATTGATTTTATATTTTTTTCAAGTCACATCAATATGTAACATTATCAACATACCTTAGTAGTAAATGACATACCTATTATAATATGAATAATTATACCTACACTTCATGTATTTCGCGTTTTCTTTTTTTTCATCATGTTCACACATATTATTACTTTGGCAACAAAACTATGTACAATGATATATAGGTTTCCAGAGGTTATCAGTAGACGTGGAAAAAACATAATTCAATTACTAGGTATGAAATGAGCTATGAATTATTATAAACCATATACATTGCTAATCTTTCGGTTTTTATTAGTTACAATAATAAATATTCTAAATACGGTAGTGAAAAATACATCTGTTAAATAAAGATAATGTGGCTATTTTCAGTGAACAACCGTAAATAACGATAATTATATACTACAAGCTAAACACTTTAACTTTATTCTAAAATGTATTATGTACGAAAATTGGAGAATAATTCAATTTAGTTGAAACGACTTAGATATTTAAGTTTCCTGACATAGTTTGAAAGGTTTATTTCAGTGAATAAACAGAAATTATGCTAACAATATTAACGATCGCATAATCGTTTGCTAAAAGCGATTACAATATACCAATATTAATGTTTGGTGAACATTTCAAATTTCATCTTTCAAAACTGATTTCAAATAAAAATTTCCGTTTTTTCCCACAATTTTTTGTTTTTCCTAATTATTTAGAAAATTATTGGGAATGTTTTACTATTGGCTCTCCAAAATACCAATATCCAATTGTTCGCCAGAAACCATCATCGAAGTTGAAGATTAAAGAATTTTTTTCTACTGTAAAAAGAGTCTCCAAATACACAAAAATAAAAAATTTAACACAAAAAATACACATTTTACAACTAATCAATTCATCTCTCTACTCAGAATCTAAAACTTATAAACAAATTGTTACGTTATTCTGCATTCTCACGTTGCAGCGTACTTCCCACGCCAAAAGTATTTATTAATATTAAGCTTATATGTATATTGCATACATATTATATTGTGTGCACACATTATACTTATATTATACATTTATTGACGTTAATATAATATTATTAAAACCCTTACTTCTGGAATAAGTTGGAATACAGCTGAACTTGATAATGATCCTGTGGCTAAGCCCAAAAGTAGTCTCATAACAGTTTTCTTTCGATTCGGGTCGTTGAGCAATGGCCAAAATATTGCGCCAACCAGCCCCGATAAACTTATGATGCCAACTGACACCAAACCTCCAATCCAAGCTATAAAACAACAACATGACTGCTGTTAGATAGTTACATTAAAAATGTACGATTTTACTAACCTTCAGCATTCGAGGACCTTTTTGCTGTTGTTGTTATCGATATTTTATTCTCTGCAGGACTGTCCATTGATTTGATAGGATAATTTTCTTCATAACTAACAAACTCGATTGTACACGAGTTTGGTCTCGATGCATTGTTACACTGAAAACACGAAAAATATAATAAAACGTATTTAACTAAAATAGTTTATTATAATTTATAGTAGATAGGTACCTAATACAAAATTATTTCATCAGTATGATGTTTCGTTAAATCAATTTACAGATAAAAACTGAAAAATTAAAATATATTCGAGTTAGAATATAGCAAAATATTCAAAAAAATAAGTGATCAAAGATTGATCAATAAATACACATTTTACATAATAATATATTAAATTTGACTGTGCGTACACAAAGTGTGGTTGGTCTATATCATATTATAAAAATTTAATCAGAGGATCGCCACTCAGAAATGCGATTTGATAAAAAAGATTATACATACATAGTTACTAGTTTTTATATTGCATGTAAAACATTATTACATCTGCACCTATTTCTTAAGTTCTATTTATTAATTTATTCGTTATTGTGTAAATATCAAATAATTACATTCGACATTATCATTACCAATGAAGTATTGGTATACGGAAATAGCAATCACACAGTCAAGTGTGTTCATGTTTAAGATTGATTTGTCCTTATCTTTAAAAATATATACACAAACATTGGTGTGTTTCAATCACGTTTAGCACTTGAGCTAATCAAACAAATTACTGATACATAAAAACTAAAAACGTTTGTTTATAAAACGTCGTAATAAGCTAGGTGATGATTTACTTCTAGGTATATAAAATGTGATTTCGAGATAAAGCAGTTGTTATTAATATACACCTAATAGTTAATAGTTAATAGTAATAATAACAATCAGACCGTATAATACGGACACAACAACTGGTATGCCAAATATTTCGGCCGTTCTTTTGAAATTGTTTGGTCGTATTTGTCCCTTGTGCTTAATGAGAAAATCAAAAACAAACCCCTCTAAAATACCAGCATACTAAATGTTGATATTTCAAATCGATAAACAGTCACGTTGTCTTACGTATTCTGAGCTGTATAAAAATAAAGTCAACTCAAAATGGTTGTACATTACTTATTGATAAATATTGTAAGGTTGTGTCATGTCGATTTGACATCTCTGTTTATCATGTCATATGCATAGCATAATATAGGTAGGTATATGAAGTACCTAGCGAACTAAATTTTCTAGATCCACAAATTATTAAATTGAAGTATAAGAGAATATTATTTTTAGAGATACGTTTTTTTTCAATATGATGATATTGCAGCTAGTTCGCGCATTTCAAATAACTATTAAAAATAATAGTACAAATGAAATGTGCCGTACCACTTTATTTTCTCATTTCTAGAAAAAAATAACACCAACATTTAAAAGGAGAAAAAACTGAAGAAAAGGAATCAGTTTCTTTCATCTTTGTAAATAAAATTACTCTTTTATAATTTTAAATAGTCTAAATCACAGTTACGTGTTGGGCACAATTTTAATTTCGCTTATCGTGGCACTAGAAAAATGGCTACAACATTTAGAAGCAATCATAAATCGTCGTCTTCTAAAAATAATACGCAACACAAAGATCAGTTGATGCCATTGCCTAATCATCAACATTTTTGGTTCGTTTTTGTAGTAAGTATAGAAAATCACACAATTACCTGTAACTTAATGTAATAGGTAAATACTATACAGATCAGATATAATATTTCAGGTGAATTTAATTGCTTATGTCTACCATACTATGGTCTATGACTATTGATTATTTATCCATCCAAACAATTATCTCATCAACAGTTTGTAAAACTTACTTATTTAGTTATTTTTGTAATTTTTTTTGTAAAATTGGTATATAAAATATAATTTGAGAAAACACTTGATATTAAAACAAATAGGTAGGTACCTACACAAACAGCAATATTTCTCAAGTGCTAATATAATATGCAATTCTCACAATATCAATATAGTCGAGTTAATATAACACTTAATAATGTAAATGCTACACCCCACTAGTGAAATATTGAACAATTCGCGAAATGGATAAACGTCAGTTGTTCTGTGTACTGTTTTAAATGTTTTAGACATAAGTTACAATGATACTTCAAGTTATCCTGAGCTTTTATAAGTTTCAATTATTAATTAAATACTATACATTTGTAGTATACGGATAAACAGGAATATTAGAAATCATTGATTGTATTCTATTATTCTTGATCATACATTTCAAAACAGCAATTTACTATAAACCGAGATATTTTAAAACTAATTATAGGTGTATGTACATCGGCTAATTAATGTGACTCATATTACGATAAATACTTAAAAACAAACACAAATAGAGAGGGACTACTCTCCACCAAATAAGTCAAAGCCCCTCGAGATAAGTTTATTATTCTTTGAACTCGTTAGTATAAATTCAAAATTGACAGGTAAATAAGTTTGAATTTACTTCATAAAACATTAAAGGTCAAGGACATTGGTAAGGTATATTATGAAGCTAACCCTAAGCTATCCAGTGCTCGTCGTCGTCGTGGTCTGGCTTATTGTAAATTAATCTTAAACTGACACTTACACGACTACTCTCTGAACTATTTCGTAGTCGTCTAGTTCGGATATTGAGTTGTGCTTCATCCAAGCATTCCAAGCAGGTATTTAGCAATATTGATTTGACAGAGATTATTTCGGTCTAGGTATTTAGTAAATAACGTAAGTACCTAAATGTATTATGCACGTGACGAACAGCTGTTTGGTCGACGTAAAAATGAGTTGCGTTAACATGTGTTTCACTTATCACAATCACAATACCACGAAACATTAATGTATTATTTTGATTCACTTATGCATGGCATAAAAATGTACGTGAAAATATAATTTACATATGTATATTGAATATCAAGAAAAAAAATGAGTTGCTAAAAATGAGTCGATTAAACTGCACATTTGTGCACCATTTAGCATCAGCTTCAATAACAGCCTAACACTACCTAACTATGCACCGGGAGCACAATGTTTTAATTAATCGGCGTTTAACGTTAAAAATACTAGTCGGGTAGGTATACGAAAGAACAGAAGTGAACCACGCATATTATTATTATATCGCCTATTACAGATAAAAAAAATTGTAATTATTCATAACTAACCCCAGTCGAATATCGAATGCATTATTGTTCATCAGCAATAAAATACATCAACTGTATTTATATGATCTACATCATTGATTCATCATCTTATTCGTATTCACTAATAATTATTTAAGGACTAAACTGGAAACTCGTATAATCTAGGCATGTACAATCAATACTTGATGTGAAAAATGTCTTATGATAATCCATTTAAATTATCGATACAAGAAATAGACAAGTGCATTGCGATGACTACGAAATTATAAATTATGATTAACGATCGAACAATGCCAAATCTATTCATGTAAATCCTTTGGTTCGACGACTATTCATATTATATTCAAAGATACGCCACCAGCTGAGATATGGTATAAAATCAATATAGAAATTGCTATACTCAATCTTTTCCACAATTAATCAGAATTAGCAACGGAATAATAATTACAGTCTGCAGAAGATATAATATTAGCCTCACAGATTACGCTTTTTTTATAGGCAAACATTTTCAATTGATATTACAATAGTGTTATAAAATGCGATTCATCGGTTGTGTAAAAAAAAATATATAAAAATAGGAGAACGTCGGTTCTACTCAATAGTCACTATCTATAGATGTACGAATAATACAATAATCCTCTAGAGTAGTCTAAACGTCTATAGGTAGTACTCCACGACGGTTCGTCGCTGCAGCATATAATACAAAAAGATATTATATAATATCAAAATCCAAAAAACCCGTTGGAGTACTATATAGGTACTTTCTCCTACTATGCCTATACTAGAAACAGGCCTAATGTAATTCTCAGAAATTAAACTTCATACTGACAAACTGGAATTCTTTCGGTAGTCAGAAACAGCGTTAAAAACCACCTCCTTGAAAATACTTAACATAAAACTGCATTTCTAGGCGACTAACTACAATAAAAAAACCTCACCTATGTTATACCAAAAAAAAAAATCAAATCTACTTAAGATTAACTTGAAATGTATCACCGGTTATCGAATACATTAGCCATCTTACAAATAATAATACAAACAAAACCGCACCAAACTCAACACCTACAATATTACAAAATCAAACAAGAAGATATTTTATGAAATTATCTTGAAACACTTTTATTTATCTACCTAATTATAACCTCATCGAACTGCAGCCAGTAAGTATAGGTAATTATTATAAACAGTATATTTGTAAAACCGTGCATTGAAAGTAATAAAGTAGGTACGTTATAATCAGTAAAATCTGCGAATAAAAATGAAAATTATTTCAAACGTACCTACATTGTTCTTTCGAAAATTTGACAAAGTATTAATTAATTAACATTTAACTATTAAAATAAGTCAAATAAATATGAAATAATATTTAAAAAAATACAATATTAATAAAACGCATAGTTACTGCAATAGTACTCCTATGATATATTTGGATATTACATTATGGTATTTTTATTTTTACAGTTTAAAAAGCTAATTTTAATTTATAAATTATACTCTCATTAGCTATTAAAATTAATACAATTAATATCTACTTGTTGATATCTTTTATTGTTCTTTTTTAATGGCATTTTCTTCCAATACTAATTTGCAATAAAAATCGATCATCAATTTTACATTCAATTTTAACGTTATTATAAACTACCTTACATTTGTATTTCCTGGTTTATTCGTATAGTCGATATAATTTAAGGTACACTTTGTCAAATATTAAGCAACTCACCATAGGCTCCTGCCATTGGCCAATTGTCTACTCAGAATTCTTCTCAGAGTGTCGAAGCCTACCACATTATCTATTACCCGGTATTCGACGGCATTAGACATTTCTGTGCGTGTACGATGACCTAGGTGGTGTTGAGCAGCCAGTGGATGGACTGATGGCCAACAGTATAACCTTGAACTCGTCGTTGGCCGGCAACAGCAATGTCAAAACGCCACAGAAAGCATGGCAAGCCGATACATTATCATGTTAAG